GCTATACCACATTATGAAAAAGCACTTAAATTACCATCAGTAAATCAAATTTTGAAACAAAAAATTGATAAAGTTTGAATATTTTTATACGTTTGTGTTTACATGTAATATTGATTACTATGAAACTCACCGATTATATTTGATATATATATATATAGGGCAAGAAAAAACAATTAGAAACTGACGAAAACGAAGTTGAAAATTTCGAAGAAAATGATCCTACAGATATTAGAAAAGAAGCTGTCTATGATTTATATTTAAATTATATGGAAACAGGATCTTCAGCTTTAGCTCAAATGTTATTAAAAAAATATTATGCAATATAAAAATTTATTTATTGGAATTACTGGTAGCGTTGCTTGATAGTTTATAATTCAAAAATTACATAGAGAGAGAAAGGACAAACCGAACCTCTAAAAGACTGATTAGGAACTGGAATAAAAAAAACAAACAGAATTAAAGACATTAAATTTTTTTATTTTTGGCACATAAAAATCATAGAGTGACTAATAAGATACCCGATTTCTTTTAATGAAAATCAGAAAGAGGGTTTTGTACCAATACCATTAAGTCTTGTTGCACCTTATGATTGTAAATCAGACTTACATGGATGGAATCTTTTTCATCCAGCGTATTCCGTCAAGCAACGTGGATTGGACAATTGTAAAAAGTTTAATTTTTTTAATGGACAAAAAAAAACCACGTGATGGATGGGTTACAAGCATATCTATATGTTTTGTACAGAGCTCTGATGTTTCCCCGTTATCTGCACCAAAAGTTTCGTCCCTACACTATAAAACACTCCCTTCATTCAATTCATCTAAAATTAAATATTGTAGGATGGTATATAAACATACATGGATGGATAAGTCATGTGCCTTATTATTTAATATTAATATTTAATTAATATTATAAAGATACAGAAATAAAACATTAATACGGAAAAAAATAAAAATAGTGTACGGAAATAATAATAATAATAATAATAATAAAAATAAAAAATGGAATTTTTCCCCGAATTATTATTATTACGTGTTATTGTGTTATGTCAACTATTATTATCATAAACTTTACTAAAAAGAGATTTATGCATGGAAAACTTCACCCTGCACTACGACTTGAAATGGATTAAATTCTAATGACCTGTCTTTCTCTATTCATTTTCTATTCTAAATACATTTAATCTTGTATATAATATGGTTAGTTCTTTTAAATCGTGAGAGTTAAAATTGCATGCATGCGTGTAAATTTAAAATTTAAAATTCCTTTTTGGGTTGGGTGAGAAAATGTTTCATGGTGAAAACGAGTTCAATAATTATAGATAACTTTAATCTTACTGATTTGTATAAAACACATGCCTAGAATCTGGATTTAAACCGGATCAATAATAATCCAGATTATAGCTATATATATACATCTCTCAAGTTTGTAACTTTCCCTTACCATCATCATTACACGATGATTGATAATAAAGTGATAACGATACATGAGAAATGGCATTCGATTCTAGGTGAAGAAATACCTTTGATTGAACCTCACGATTATGTTAAACTCAGTAAAATTTTAGCACCTCCAAAATTGACAGCTCACGAAATGAACGGAAGTGTTGCTTACGTTCTTCACTATATTCGCCAGAAAGTTAAAATGTGGGGGGCTGATGTTCTTAGAGCAGAAAATATTAAAACTTTGGTCGAGGAAGACGATGATGTTTCTGATGAGGAATCCGAATCTTCTGATATGGGATCAATGGACGAAGGCCAAGATGTTCGGAAAAATCAATTGTCTCGATTTGATTGCCTTGCTAGTTTGCTTGCCTCTGTAGAATGCACTGTAGCTCAAGATATCTTTCGAACCTTATCTCAATTCCCAGTTGCACTTCCTTTGACAATACCCGAATTAGATAAAGAAGAAATGTTTAAAGTGATGCTTCCTTTGCTTGTTGGTCCAGTTATCAAGTGGGAAACGAAACCTGGAACAATTGTTGAAAACCACCTTTTCAATGATCGTTTCAGATTGATTGTCGCCATTCGAATCGGAACAAACTCTCCAGGTAAAAGCGTCATTCTCAACCAATTAATGGCATCGGATTCTATGTTCTCTTCGAGTTGTGAACCAAGAGCAGAATATGGGATTCCACATATGATTAATGGAAGCATCGAGTTTACTTGGCTAACCCAAGAAACTTGCGGGGTGAGTCTATGGAATGACGTTTTTGAAAATTATTATAAAGAAGGGGCAAAGGAAATCGCTTTACTTGCGAATTTACATGGAGATGCTTTAGATTATCCAGATCAAATTAAATTTTTAAAGCAACTTCCTTCTAGTTTCTTGATTTTTTTAATGCCTGGATGTACCACAAGTCAAATAGATAAACTCGAGGCTCTAATTGGACCCAAAAAAATCATATATGGCTGGGTGAATAAAAAGAACACAGACAAAAAGAAATACACGATCGACACCAAATTTTTAATGAAAGATAAAACATTAAAAAAAGTACGCATGATGTTTAAAGAAGCTTTAGATTTTGATACTTCATCATTCAATGCTATGATTAAATTGAGAGGATCGCTTCAATTGGCCGAAAGCATTGAACTTGCCGAGTCTCAGCTTTTGGCAGACTTTGTCAAAGAAAAAACTTGTCGTCACATTAAACTGGAAGGTTGTTAGACTTTTTTTTTTTTTTTAAACCATCCTAAATCATTTCAAGTCAGCTTATATCAATTACTGTTTCTCGTTTTTTTTTTTTATAATCTGAAGTTATGCAGCTTCAAAGAAAACCACCCAACGATCTCCAAATTTGGAAAAATAATACAGAGTTGCAATATTTAATATTTTTGTACATAAACATTCTAAAACTACCTCTCAACAAAAGGATACGAGCTCTAGCACATCTTGAAAGAGAAGTATCCAGGCTTTCTATGATAGAATCCTCTGGGGTTCGAAATCAGGCTGTGTTGAAAAGAGAAGAATTGCGTAAATCCAGTTTGGTTGATAGGAATCAAGAAAATGAAATGAAAATTCGAGATGAAATTGCAAAAATTTGGGCAAAGGTTGATAGCATGAGTTTAGGTTTGGAACATTTTTTCCGTGAGTTGGGACAAATCTACAAGATTTCTTCTATCAACGACCCAGACAGTGAAATTGTATTGAAGTTGCCAGAACTTTACGCTCAACTACTGATTGGTGGCCACACCATAGAATTACTTGATGGTGATGCTGGATCTATATCTGAAGCTTGGTTCTCAGCCATTTGTGGGCATATTTGTAATGCATATCCTAGACTTAGAATTTTTGTAGTCAGCATACTTGGCCTACAATCATCAGGAAAGTCAACTCTCTTGAATGCTCTTTTTGCATGTAGATTTGCTGTTTCAGTTGGGCGTTGTACTAGAGGTCTTTTCATGCGATTATTGTTTTTGGAAAAAAATTTATCCGACCAACTTGGCGTTGATGCATTTGTCCTAATTGACACTGAAGGTCTTGGTGCACCAGAAAAGATGGATGACCCAGAATCGGAAAAGAAAGATCGAATATTAGCAACTTTTGCAATGGGTGTAAGCAATTTAACAATTCTCAATGTGCTTGGAGAATCAACACGTGACTTGACTGAGATTTTGCAGATAGCAATTGTAACAATGGCACGTCTTGAAGAAGCTGGAATAGCCCCTGACATTATGATGGTGCAGCATGTTTCTGAACGAAATGCAGCAAGACTGTCTGAGCCAGAAGAAAAATTTCGGGCGGCTCTTCAAGAGGCTTTGAAAATAGCTAAAGAACAAGACATTGAGATGGGAATATCCAATACAGACTGTCTCCAAATACTTGATGAAAGGATAAAAAAAGGCCAGCTTCTTAAACAATTTCGGCCATTTAAAAATGGTGCAACTGCCTATGCCCCACCATCAGAGCAATACCATGAGGATGTTGTGAATTTATACAACTCCATAATTAATGATTGTAAGAATTCGCAGAGCAAAATTGAATTTTCGAAATGGCATTCGCTAATTCAAGACTATTGGAATGCAGTATCTCATGAGGACTTTGCTGTTCGTTTCAAAAACATCAGAGAAATTTATGAATTTATTGATCTTGGCAAACGAATCACAAAGTTGAAGGAAACCATCGACAAAGCATTCCTAAAACACGAGGAATCAATTATGCAAAAAATTCGTACCAAGCTTCAAAAGACTTAGAATTTTTGTAGTCAGCATACTTGGCCTACAATCATCAGGAAAGTCAACTCTCTTGAATGCTCTTTTTGCATGTAGATTTGCTGTTTCAGTTGGGCGTTGTACTAGAGGTCTTTTCATGCGATTATTGTTTTTGGAAAAAAATTTATCCGACCAACTTGGCGTTGATGCATTTGTCCTAATTGACACTGAAGGTCTTGGTGCACCAGAAAAGATGGATGACCCAGAATCGGAAAAGAAAGATCGAATATTAGCAACTTTTGCAATGGGTGTAAGCAATTTAACAATTCTCAATGTGCTTGGAGAATCAACACGTGACTTGACTGAGATTTTGCAGATAGCAATTGTAACAATGGCACGTCTTGAAGAAGCTGGAATAGCCCCTGACATTATGATGGTGCAGCATGTTTCTGAACGAAATGCAGCAAGACTGTCTGAGCCAGAAGAAAAATTTCGGGCGGCTCTTCAAGAGGCTTTGAAAATAGCTAAAGAACAAGACATTGAGATGGGAATATCCAATACAGACTGTCTCCAAATACTTGATGAAAGGATAAAAAAAGGCCAGCTTCTTAAACAATTTCGGCCATTTAAAAATGGTGCAACTGCCTATGCCCCACCATCAGAGCAATACCATGAGGATGTTGTGAATTTATACAACTCCATAATTAATGATTGTAAGAATTCGCAGAGCAAAATTGAATTTTCGAAATGGCATTCGCTAATTCAAGACTATTGGAATGCAGTATCTCATGAGGACTTTGCTGTTCGTTTCAAAAACATCAGAGAAATTTATGAATTTATTGATCTTGGCAAACGAATCACAAAGTTGAAGGAAACCATCGACAAAGCATTCCTAAAACACGAGGAATCAATTATGCAAAAAATTCGTACCAAGCTTCAAAGTTGGTCTCCTAATGACAGATCAAATATGAATTTACGTCACCAGTGCTTAGAATTGATTGAAAAAGGGCTACAGAAAATACCAGATTGCAATGATTCCGGCTGTGAAGAATGTGAAAGTATAAACAAGGAAAGGATTGAATTGGAAGAGTACCTCAAAGATAAGAATAATGAAATGTGTGAAATAGAAACCAAACAAACAATTGAGGATTATATCAAACTCAATCGTCATTCTGCATCCATAAAACTCACTCAGATGCTCGATGCCAGTTTCATCCGAAAAGGTATTTCATCCGAATCTCTTGACATAATTAACAACCGTTTAGAAGGGATTCTAAGGAATATGCCAAGTGGTAGACGATTGACAGATTATCAACGTAAAAAAGAAGTTGAAGAAATATGGAGTTTGTTGCGAAATAACATATTATCAAAATACAACATTAAGCCAATAGTGGATCAAATAGATAAGGAGGTCAAAGATGCGTGTTCTCATTTATCGTCAGTAGGATTCTATCAACAATACATGAATGGAAACTCTCCAGATTTATCTAAATGCAAGGCATATAAAGCATTTAGAGGCCTTATTCCAACATGCTTGGATATAAGAGACGCCTGCGCTCTCCAGGAAAAGCTTGATAATTTGGTAGATTCAATCTTGGAAAAAAGGGCATCTTATCATTATTACCCTGGAATTGTGCGCGACCTTGCAAAAGTGATAGAAAAAACGCTTAACGATAATGCAAGTCTTCTTCGCGTCAAATTTTTGCCAGAATTCAAATGGAATGCTTACTTGTATGCTTTGTTGAAATTTAAACCAAAAATGATAAGCTTTCAAAAAAAATGGGAAATGGATAATACTCCACTTGGCATCCTTGATCAAAAGAAAGAGGAATATTTAAAGATGATTGATACCCGGCTTCAATATGGGCATACACTTGTTTCTGAGGGACATATTGCTGGGGATTATTTACTGAGGGTCATTCATAAAAAAGCAATGGATGCAGGAAGCGCTGAGCGAAAAACTGCGGTGCGTAATATTGGTTGGTTGACGTGTACTGAATCAGTTAGGCTTAAATATTTTGAGAATCTTGCTGAACAGGTTCAAAGAGGCGACAAAAAAGAAGCTATAGAGCATTTTTCATGGCCAAAAGGATCCATAGAATATTGGTTTAAACGTAAAGTTGATGGTAATACAAGTGGAAATCCAAAGCAAAAATACAATGATACCTTTAACTCAGAATTCAATCGAGTCATTCAAGAAATTCGTAACTGTCAAAGTTTCGAGGCAATCAAAAAATTTATAAATGATTACATGACGCAAGTTGACAAAGTGGACTACAAATTGGATCTTAGAGACACAAAAGATGAAGATTTTAGAATATTCTATCATGCTGTCGAGGAAGAGCTTAAAACTAAAGGGGGTGGTCGTTATCCAAAAGATGAGCCTTTTCAAGATCCGTCTAAAGATAAATCAATCATGGAACTGCTTGGATGCACAGAAGCGTGTTATTTTTGTGGAGCTTTGTGTTGGGGATCTCAGGGACATTATAACGACAGTGGCGAAACAAAAAGACATCATACTAGCCATCAACCTGGTGGTCTTGCAAGGTTCAGTTATAGAGGTTCGAAAGAACTAGTTGCAATGCCATGTCATAAATTGGAAGATAATGTGGGTGTGTGGTATTTTGGCAAGGAGGACCCAACACCTTGGAGCGTTGTAAAAGCTCATGATTTTAAGGATTGGAGATTTGAATCTCACTACCAACACTTATTTAATGATCTTATGTGCTGGTTCTTTGAAAAATTGCACGTAGATCTGGCAAACAAATATGGACTCAAACCATCAACTTATAACGAAATGAGTAAATATGGTTGTATAAACTTGAGTTACAGTGATATTATTAGTACGCTTAGAACAAAAATTTAAGCAATTCATTAAATTGTAAAATTCGGGTCTAAACTTTTGTGATAATAAAAATAATGTAAAGTTTCTTTCTCAAGTAAAAAGAAATAAACCTTTTTTCTTCTATTAAAGTGTATTTGTACGTGATATTCTAATTGAAAAGTCTCAAAAGGTCAGTAAGGTATTGATTATGAAATATTTAACGAATCATTCATGAAACAAGCTTCTTAGTATTAGTATTAGTATAATACGATCACCTCCTATTACTATATGTTCAAATTTTTATACTATATCAACTGTTATAGATAGTACGAGAAATTCAGCAAGAGCACTGCTGACCTTTCCTAAAATTTAATTCCAAGTAAACTTGCTTAATATATTTGTCATTTACTCAAAGTTTTCGTAAATTGCGGGAATTTTAAAATTTTCGTCCCGAATTTATAATAACAACCCTATGAAATTTTACAATATTAATTATCAAGATGATAAAAAAAAGGAAAATGGTAAATAATACAAATACTTTTAACCTATATTTCCCGAGATGTTACTATGTTAATAGGATTTTTGGCCATATTTTTCTGAGAAAAGAAACTTTGACGATTCTTCCGGATTGGTAGTTTAATCCATAAAATATAAAAGCAAGAAGATGTTATTGTAGTGTTGGTGGAGTATAAAATATTTGAATTTCTAAAAATTCAAAATTAACAATTAACAAACAGAAAAGAATTTTAAAAATGCTCCAATAACGATTACGAAAAGAAATATACCAATCATTTGTTGTTGATACGGACCTTATAATTACCCAGCGGGATCTGCTCCGCGTTTTGATTCCAATTAAAATATTTATATAAAATAAAAGACACCACACTATCAATACAAATAAAAAAAATACCTCTGGTTGGTTATTAACACGTCTTCAGACGAGTGCCAAACCATATCATACCAACTACAACACTCGCGTTTTGTCATTGAAAAATAAGATTGTTTTTCCAAGGAAGGAAAAAAAAATCAATTCGCATCAACAAAAAAAACCAATAGGATAAATAATCTGCGGAGGAAAAATGTCACAAATTTTGCCAATTGAATGAAACTAATCTCAAAGAACATATTTATGTATTTTTTTTCAAGAATATCGAAAAAAATAAGTATTTGCTCTTGGGGATGTAGAGATGAGTGAAATTGAAAGTTGTCAAGAAAGTATAAACGATAGAAATCTTACTGCAGGCTGGTTTGCATGTTCCCTTTCTAAAATATATAGAAAAAATTAAATTAATGATTTAAAACAATGAAAAGAATAAAATCGTCGCATATAATAATAATAATAACTAATTCGATTGTCACAATGATTCTTTTTGATTTCATTTAATCATTAACCTTTGGAAAAAGAAATCATGTAAATCCCTTTTTAATTTAAATATATGTATATATAAAAATATTAATTAAAAATATAAAAATAGATACAAAAGTAAATATTGAAAAAAAACATACTACCATATACTTGGGTATAACAACTTGATAGTTTGATTGACACAGTGGTGCAGTCTTGCAATTTTTTTATTGTATATTTTAAATATAATTAATCATATGTCTTTAACAAAATAAACATGACTTGGCTATTTAATCATTTCCTTGTAAGTGAATGCCTTCATCCATCAAATATTCATGATAGTCATGATTATTATTCAATACATTTGATATTATCATTGACATAACAAACAATTGCATCACCCAAGTAGTAATAATACCAGAGCCATTCAAAAATGAAACTTTTAATAATGCATGTCTACCCAGATCTCTGGGATTCACAATAATAAATTATTCTTCCTGATTATTAATTATGGTTCCTTATGAATAATAAATCTGATGTTGATCATAGGTGTCACATTTAATTGAAATTTCCTATCACAAACGTGCAAGTGCCGTGCAAAGCATCAATTCAGCACCATGGAATTTTTTCCACAGGTGAAAGTGGTTTGAACAAGTTGAAAGGCTTTGGACAAAACATTCCCTTATCCCCCCCTAATACCAAGCTGGATGTTACATATATGGGCATTGATCACTGATAGCTGGTGCTTGTGTGATGATTGCTGCATGTTATTGCCACACTAGCATAAAAGTTGGACCTGCAACTGGTTGAAAATTCAGCAACTCAGAAGGTTGCAACCTGGGTTGCTGTTTTAGATTTTCCCTGAATTCGGAGTTTTGAGTCCTGGGTTGTTGTCTTTTTGGTGGCATGCCTACTCACCAACAACCCTACCCCATTTAAATAACAAATTCAGCTGGTCAAATAAAAATTAAAGAGATGCAGAAAATTTGGGGAAACGATCAATTTATAACATAACATACCAAAATTCAAGCCTTTTTCCTGTTGGCCACATTGCTGACAAAGATGTATGTATATAATCGTGCAATAATTTTAATCTATACAACAGGGGACTGATTGGGCAAAAACCCAATCTAGTCCCCCTAGTATACACACAAAAATTTGTTGTATCGTTAGTTTTTATTACAATACTCAAAAAATACAATTAATTTTTATATTCAATTAAAATAATCTAAAACTTCAAATTTTTTATTTATTGATATGTATATATATATATATAATATATATATTCAAAAATTTAATATTAAAAAGTGTATAATATCTTAACTTATCATCTTCTTGGTGGGGAATTGCTGATGAGTTATTATAATCACGGCTAAGCATTACTTCAAAAAAAAAAAATATATAAACAAAATAGAAAAGAAAATGACTTGACACAATAGATTTGATTCACACCCAAATTTTGTAATTTATTTATGCTCTACGTATCGAATTTTTCCTAGAAACCTTTCTGAATCCCAGAAAAAAAGTAAATATGATTTATTTACACGAAATCAGCCACCAGAGTTATATAGCTTTATTGAATGAAAAAAAAAAAAATAAAGATTAATCTTCTTCAGAAGATACTGTTGAACTCGACTTTTTAAGCCTTAGAGATCTAGTTTTAGGAGAATGATATAATATTGTCAAGTTGATAATTAAAATATTTCTCAAATTTAAAAGGGCCTCTATAAATCGGAAAACATCTTCGCTACCAGTTGAACGTACAGGAATTTTAATTGAATATAAATTATAAAGCTGATTAATATTATCCATATCTTTAATCATAATATTAAAATGCATAACATCCCCAGCTATTTGTGCTCTAATAATCCAAACTCGTTTATTATTATTTATTTAATTTATTTATTAACAATATTGTAAAAACTGAATTTTGTCCATTGCAGCACCCTACAAATACATGCAAAAGCAAAAAAGCTCAAATGGTTTGTTTAAAATTTATAATATCTCCATTTTAAAAAACAATAACTTAAACGTATATTTTAAAAAAATGAACGAATCTTAGTTTTTTCTAATTGAACATTTTCCAATTTTAATTCTCCATTTATTTCAATCTCCTCCTCTTCCGCATCATCTACACAATTCCAACCAATTTCATTATTCACTGTCATCAGAGCCAAAAATTTTTAATCCGTTACAATTTTTACGATTTTATTTCTTCGCCATGTTCAATCATATCCAAAGATCCAGAACTATTATCATTTTGACACGCCTTTTTTGGCTCATACTTTACCTTCCGTACTTCTTGTTTGATTTTTATAACTTCTTTTGATTTACAATATGATTAATGATTCAAATGTAATTTTTTTATTAATAAAGACGCGATTATTTCCCTGCGACATGGATCGATTATTTGATTGGTCTAAAATTATTAAAACATCTATGAACTTTTGATGAGTGTAAACATATAACAGACCCTGTTTTTCCAACTTTTATTCATCATCAAGAAATCATATGAGGCGTGGACAGCAAAAAGGTCGAATTTGATTTCTGAACATTTTGAGGTAATGTCATAATTACATGCATTATAGGCCCAGAAACTTGCATAATAAAAATCATAAGATATTTCATATGGCAATATTAAATTTTAGAAATCTAAAAACATGTTTTATAAAAATTCGGCCTTTTTCTTTGTCCATGCTCTATATATATAATTTTCTTGGCGATGATGAAAAAAAAATAAAAGCGTTTTATACTGGTATTAATTACCTTAAAACCTTAGTTTTAGGTAAATTGGATCAGGGGTTGAAGGGACCCAAAAAATCTTTTCAGACTTTGAAGATTTTAAAGAATGTGGTTTAGAATTAGTTTTATTGGACTATTTTGTTTTTGTTTGTAAGATCAAGTAGCTGGAGTAGGTGTTCGACGTGTAGTAGAATGTAAACGTGCAAGTTTTAATAATTCAGAAGTTCTTCCACGTAATTATTGTCATAGTTTTCGAATCTGTTTGCATTTTTCAGGCAAAAATAATAAGAATATATTAAGATATGTAATCGAATCGAATTAATTAACCTAATTCATCATTGATGTAAATATAATGCAATTTTTCGCAAAAATGCAAAATATTATCGACTTGGAAAACGAATAGTAAATCAACCATAATTTATTCCACTCTTTGAAATTCAAAGAAGCCCTGTTATATCACCTCTAATATAACTGAATATGCCGGGCATTATTTCTGAAATAATTACAGACATCGTCGCCACCGAACTAATACCTCCATCACCAGAACAATCAACTACATCAACAATGGTAGAAATTCTTGATTCTAGAATAATTATTCAAAAGATTTACCTAGCGATCCAAATATTTTCTCAACTAATTATAATTCCAGGAATTTCACAGAAGAAAATTATTATTTAACATAAATGATAATTTTAATATCTGTATGCATAAGACAAACTTATAATTATCAAATCCTGTCTGATATATGGTAGTGAAGTGTATAGTAATGCAAATTATCATTTAAGATCGACGACCAAATTGTGTTGCAGTTTTTTTTTGAACGAAGCTTTGGCTTTTGTATCTACACTCAAAACTCGATAAGCCGAACTTTTAGAAAATACAAAAATAGGATCGGTTTATTAAAATTCAGGTTACAGTTGGCGTTAGTATTACTATTCGTGTATAGTTATTTACTGTTAAGGTGATTATAAACCGAATTTTATCATTATTAATAAGGAATAGGACGAAATTCGGTTTACATCAAATTATATTGAAATTCGGGTTAACAGAATAATTTTATTAGTCAACCAACTTTGCATCGTTATCGGTTTATAATGGTTCGGCTTATCGAGTATTGTCTGGGGGAAGCACCTGTATAATCGACCCGATGGGTTTTTCTTATATTAACATTTATGTTAATCAAATAATTCGGGTGAAAAACAACAATCGAAGAATTTTGAGCTTCTGATAAAGAAAGAAGAAAATGGGCTTCATTAACTTTTCACGAGTTTGAGATATTATTTTTTAGTAAGCCAACAAAAATTGATGACATCATTATCATCATATTTTTATGTTTTTATGTAATGTTTACCCAATAATAATGATGATTAATAATATTTAAAAAGACAGATAAATAAATCAAATTGATTTTTTTCATTCTTGCGTGAAATAAATAATTTCCAAAAAAACCACTTTGTTAATAATGATGGATAGAACAAGAGATATAGCATATCGTGTGGGACAAAGTATTAAGCAAACGGAACAGATTCTGACACATAACGAAGGTTATTTTAAAATGGTTAGGGATTATATTAGACCAATTGGTGATCCAACTTATGAAGCAATCAAATATTTATGGGGAAATTTTCCACCAGCGAGATGGTTAATTTATGCATTGCTAACATTTAATTCGATTCCATTGATGATATTTGTTGGATGGTTTATCCTAACGCTGGGATTTGTTTTCGCTCTAGCTGGTGTAGGAATTCTTTGTGCAAATGGATTTTTTACATTCTTGGGGTTGGTGGTTTTTGTGCCAGTAGCAATAGTATTGATAATTGTGGCATTTGTTGGTGCGTCAATTGCAACGTTCGGGTGGGCAGGTTTGAATACCGGCACTTATGTATTATCTAATATTGGAACTGTGGGAGATCAACATACATTAAATCGAGGCAAACGGAGAGAATCTATTATTGGAGGTGACGGTAAGGGTAAAGATTCTTGGTTAATTTGAATGTTATACTGGAAATATTATAGATTTTGCATTTTAATGTATATAATTGCGTAATATTAGTAATATAGTAATAATATATGAAATAAATTTTTGCTATTCAACCAATCATTACATTATTTTCACCACCACTATATAATCTCTTTTATCAATTATATATAGTCACTCATTCCTTTGTACAAAGATCTTTTGCAAATAAATATTCAGGAACCTCACTGCCAAGTGTTCATACTTTTACAAAATTTAAATGCAAGGAACAATAAATTTATTTTCTCATTCATGATAGCTACTGACTGACTCACATCAGAATTTTCTATTTATATAAAATTTGAATTTGCCATAGAATTTATTTATATCCAGACAATACTTCACTAACCCATTGCTAACACTCACTAGTTGACCAATGTTAGTCACAACCTTCGCATACCCACCAAAGTAAATAAAACATGGCCTTTTGTAAAAGCTCCACAATTGTTGCCATTTTACCAATGTACTATACTGTTACTTTCAAAAAAGTACTTTAAACGGAAAAAATAAAAACATGTTGAAACGAAAATTTTGTAGAAATTCAACAGTTTGAACAACTTCGGGTCCTTGCTTGAAGGAACGGGGGAAAAATACAATTCTAATGAAATAAAACTTTGTAATATAATCATGATTTTAAATAAATTATTAATCCTTAAATCGTCAATAAAATGTTATTAAGCATTCTTATACAGCACTTTGTTTTTAGAAACCACGCTGTTCAACTTGTATATTTTTTATTATGTGAAACTAAAAATTTTTTTTCGTATATTTTCTTTGTTACTAATGTTCTTTAGTTATTACTACAACTATTACTAATACTTCTTTTATTATCAACATGTTTGAATTATCATTAGTGCCCGAGTTTGAAACACATGTAGGCATGTCAATATTAATATGCAGAGTTAGTTGTGTTAAATTAATTGATTAAGTTAACCAACTACATGTAATAGTATATAATATTAAAATAAATCATACTTGAGTGTCTGAATTTGAAACACACATAGACTGGCCAATATTGGTACGTAGAATGATTTTTACATAGTACATGAGACAGGTTTAGTTGTAGGTATTAATTTGAAGTTGATGAAAATAGTAAACTGGGTTTCTTTTATTGCTGAATCAAATCACTAGAATTTCAATTTTCAAGATTTATACTTTATCAATAAGGCTGCCAAAAAACCTCTATAACAAAAAGTTAAAAAATGAAAATTGTTGGTTACACACTCCGCAAAAAAAAAGAATTATTCTCTCTACTATTACTACTCATTAAATCACCCAAATAAAACCATTTATTTTATATAATGTCATATGCTAAATTATCATTATCATTATCATTATCACCAGAAAGAAGGGAATTTGTATATAAAATCAATAATGAAATGTGTAATAATGCTTTGGTTAATTCTGATATAGAAAATAGAAAGGATTATTTTTTTTCATTAGTCCAAAAAAACAAGGAGCTTTCTGAAATTGAAAAAGAATATTGTAAAAAAAGGTTTATTTATGAGTCTGAATTATATAATGCAAAAAATAAAGAGGGAAAACCAAAAGAATGTGACAAGTGTAAATTGACAAGATACTCTGATATGTTCTGTGAAGGTTGTATTAGTTTACAATTACAGAGTCTCTTCACCACTTGGACATCTGGAGATAACATAATTGATAACTTTATTCAACAATGCCAAATGAAATCATCTCTGCCAAAATATATTTTAGAATGGATACCTTTTGAGCAATTTGAAAATATAACAAAATTAACTGAAGGTGGATTTAGTTCAATTTATAAAGCTATATGGACAAAAGGTCATATAATTGATTATGATGAAAATAAAAAGGAATTTAGTTATTTTGGAGGTAGAGGACAACTAGTAGTATTAAAAAGTTTAAATGATTCAAGTAATCCAGGAAAAGGCTTTTTTGATGAGGTTGGTGGTTTTTGTTTAAAACAAAATAAACAATATTGTATTATATGATACTAATTGATTTTATATTTATTTTAGGCAGTGAATTATTGTAAAATTAAATCAGGGTTGATTGTTACTTGCTATGGTATAACTAAATTCCCAGACAATGGAAATTATGCAATGGTTTTAAATTATGTGGCAGAAGGAAATTTAAGAAATTATTTACAAAAAAATCATTTAAATTTAACATTAAAAGACAGAATTACAATCTTTGTTTATTTATGTAATGCATTAGATGATATACATGAAAAAGATTTAATCCATTGTGATTTACATAGTGGTAATATATTATTGCAAGGAGGTAGTTGTTATATTACAGATTTAGGACTATGTGGACCAGTTGATGAAAAATCATCAAATAAAGTTTATGGAATTGTATCATATATTGCACCTGAGTTATTTAATGGTGAAAAGAACACAAAAGAATCTGATATCTATAGTGTTGGGATGTTAATGTGGGAAATATTTGCAGGTCACCCACCATTTGATGATAGAGCTCACAATCATCACTTAATGGTTGATATATGTGCAGGTTTACGACCACCAATATTATCAGGAATTCCTGAAAACTATGTGCAAATGATGCAGAGGTGTTGGGATGCAGATCCATCAAAAAGACCAACTATCATGGAGCTTTTTGACTTTTCTCATAAGGAATTTTGTAATAATAGTAATATCAGTAGTGGTGGTAATAATAATGATAATAGTAATAATAATATTACTAGTAGTGATAATGATTCACAACAAGTACACAAATCACATCCAGGCATATACCATATAAGTAGGATCTTAGATGAAGATATTGCTAAATATAAAATCTTAAAATGTTATACAAGTAATGAAAATAATCTTGATTTTAACAAAGGTGAATAAAAATTAATTTCATCATTAATTAATATCAATTACTAATAATCTTTTTTAACATTAGATTCTAGTAATAATAGCAAAAGAAGAAAGATTGATGAATAATTTAATCTTCACTATAAATTTATTTGTTGTAATTATTTATCTTTTTATTTTATCCTTATTTGTTTCTTAAAGCTAAATTATAATGAAATAATAAACTTTTAGAGTTTTCTGATTTTGTTAATGGTGATATTGCTGATTGTGGCTTTACTTTTGGGCTTACTATTGTCAGTTAATTGCAAGAAACTTGCAATAAATTGGTGCTTGTCAATTAATTAGTTTACAATGTATCCCGCTTACTGCCTCTTTCTTATACCTAGAAAGCTTCAATGAATCTGTAAGCATACTTAATGGCACCAGACAAATAAATGGCTATTTATAAAACTCAAAGGCTTTTATAAAATTTCTTTTATTCACTTGTGATTGATTTACATCAGTAACCCTTGTTTATATTTATGTGGCAATTGCAAAACAACTTAAACGTTTACAATTACAATAACATTACCATATTTTCCAATTAATCTTTGGAAAAAGCTTAACAATAATCGCAAAGCAATTATAATAGACAGTGATTTGTTTATATACATTTCATGATATTATTTTATTAATTTTATGATTTTAACAAGAATCCAATCATCGAAACCAATAAATCATTAATCGATAATTGAATACTTTCTTTGGTGATGATGGAAGTTGTGGTGGAGGAGAAGGCTCAAACAAAAACCAAATGAAAATCGATAATGGAATTCATTGTTGAGTTTTAAAAGCAATGATTATAATTATTGATTTGATTTAAAGAAGAATTTTTAATAGCGAAATTTCACTTTTTTAATAAAAATTTATATAGGTGGCTCGGTCTAAAGACTTCCTAAATTTGGTGGAGATTGCTGAGCAAAAAAGGGTTAAAATTAAGGTTTGTGGCTAATTTTATTAATAGAATTTCGACGTTGATCACCAAAAAATTTCGGAAAATACACTTCCCAATCGTTTAATGTGACAAATCGTTCGACTATTAACCTAACCGCATTTGCTTATTAAGTAAAAATTCATCACCATATCAAATAGTATAACATACTGAAGTTTCGCTGCATATAAACAACTTGTTGTTTTACGAACTTTAAAAAATAAAAATGCATTTTTTGGAATTTTCAAAAAAATCTTTAACTCAAAATTGACCACAATGTCAAGTTCTAACGACCTTTGCGGTATAAGTGGAAAATGCGTCTTATGTTTGAATCTAGTTATATCCAAAATTCTAGATCATTTGGTAAAATAATTAATGAGAAAAAAAATAAAATGTAAAAAATTTACAAAATGATTCAACCTCAAACTGCTCACCAATTTGAAACATAAAAGATATCAAAAATATATGAAACTGTTTTGAATTGATTTTATTAAAAAAAAAACAATATCTTGTCGGTTTCCTTTATTTTTTAAAACAGCATCCACTCTTTGTGGCATACTATCTATTAATCTATTAATTCTCACCAGAATAGTATTAAACCATTCCTCTTTTAATAAATTGAATAGTTCTATTTTATTTTTTGGTTTTGGGTTTCTCATTCTAAGTCTTCTTTTTAAATCCCGCCATAAATTTTCAATATTTTGAGCATTGTATGGATTACTTTGACAAACAAGATAAAAATAAATCAAAGACTATCATTAATTATTGGTAGAGTAATATAATTAAAAGGTGTGATTTTATTATTATCAATATTTAGTTTGGTAATATTTCAACCTGTGAGGTCAAAAGTCAAAATAGCTGAAAATTAATCAAAGCTTCAAAAAAAATTTTTTAAGGATGAATCACCAATTGATATGTGATGAATATAATGAAAGTTCCTATAATGATAGTAGTAATGATAGTGATGATATAATAATAATAATAACAAGAACAACAACAGTTCAGATAAAGGTTCTACTACATTAATTAACACCAGTACCTCCCTGCTAGCCAGCATAGAGCTAATATCAACTAATGATACAATAGTAAGGTTACAAACATTATCACCACCAGTAAATGATGATGATAATATATTAATCAACATTAAATGGAAACACAGCAAATGTAGCTGATAATAACAATAATGTGAGATTAATAGTAACAGCACATTTATATTGGTCTGTATGTTATACGTTATTAAGAAATGGTGTTGAGGAGGAAGGGTGTCATTTTTGGTGTTACAATAACCTTTTGATCAAACATCCATGAAAATTTGTTTCATAAACAATCTATGACATTAAGAGAATTGTTTAATGTATTTGGAGATGGATCTTTTGGGGAAGAAGAAGATGGTAATAGTGAGAGATCAACAATTGTATTTAAAAATTTATATATATTTATACAAATGAGAAAAACCTTTTTTTTTGATGAAATATTTATTTATTTTTTTTCTTTAAAAAATTTCTCATTTGAAAATGATTTTAAATTATCATAAAGATTTTTACTAGACTCATTGATATCAAATTTATTAACATTATTGACTAAACTTATAATATTTTGATTCCATGATGATTTAATTTTTGGAATAAACTCATGATTATAATAGTAAGATTTTTTTTGATCCTTCTGCTTAATATTTTAAGTAATAAATGAATGAATTAATTAATTTATAATGAAATTATTAAAGTAAAAAATATAAATAATCCATTTTTACCAATTCACTGACACCAACATTATTATTATTATCATTTTTGATGCTACTTAAATTTTTCGGTAAAGAAGTTTCAAGTTGATTTTTTGCATATAACAGTTTTGTATGTAATAAAAATGTATTACTTTCAATTTTATGTTGAAAACTATACATTAAAGCTGATGCAGTCAAAACACCTGCTGCTGTCGCTGCCCATTTTACCATTTTGAATTAATTAATTAATAAAGATTTTTTAATTTTCGTGCAACCGAATTATGTTAACAAATTATATTAAAAGTTTTCCTACAAGATTTTTAACAATCTATAATTTGAAAAAAAAAAGAATGCTTAGTACAGAATATCACCCAAAATCACCAGCCAAGTTACCAACAGATTCCAATTTTTATCCTGGTAAAAATTTAATGATAAGGATGGAAGAATTTTATCAGAGTACATTGATTGATGATGTGATGATATTAACATATAGAGATGCAGAGACAGAGAAAAAATTTGTAGAGAAAAGAAAAAAACGATATCTACCACAGACTAAAAATGCCAAAGACCCAAGAAAGCCAACACCACTTAGGCAACGAGGAAATAAACAAATCCAGCCTACACCCTTACCTCAATCACACCTAACCATACCAAAGTTACAAGCTATCAATCTCAATTGTATGATGAAACAAGCTATTATAAATAAACAACATTTATTAAGTGGTTTGATGGCTCTACAATCAATAACATCAGAGCAACCATCTGTTATCTACGCAAGATCTGATGTTTCCACCTGGAAATTGAGAGAAGGTAAATATTATTATATTTTTAAATTTGGTTTTTAAAAAAAAAATTTCTCAATTTCTTAATTTTTAACTTGAAAAAAATTTACTAAGGAATGCCAATTGGATGTAAAGTGAGCATTAAAGGAGCATCAATGTACACATTTTTAGATAAATTAGTTGAGATAGTACTTCCACGCATGAAAGATTGGGATGGAATACAATTCACATCAGGGGATGGCGATGGAAATATTGCAATGGGATTACCATCAAGTGCTTTAGGTTTATTTCCTGATATTGAGGGAAATTATGAGATGTATCCAACCATAACAGGTTTTAATGTTATCTTTCAAACTACTGCTTATACTGATGTTGAAGGTAGATTATTATTAAGTGGATTACAATTGCCTTTCAGTAAGAAGAAAAAATAGAATATGGAGAAAATATTTATATTATGTTTAGTATTAGGCTGTTCAAATTCGATTATTTGTTTAACATTCCCCAGATTTCAAATATAAAGCACGTGACTTTAAAGTGTAACAAAAAAAATATAAAATAAAAATTCTATCAGAGCCTTCAACTAATGAGATATAAACATGGCAAATATATCAAGCTTTTAGGCTATAGAAAAAAAGATTGCTAATAGAGAAACTTTATAACTAATTGGATTTGTCTTGTCCAATTACCCAAATTAAAATAATTGTGAGAGGAGACATTTGAAAATTCTAAATTCTCACAATATAAATATTAATAATGTTTGTTTGGAATTAGAACAATTGGAAACAAACCTCATTCTTTAACACCACACATTTATATTCTTAACGAAAAAGCTTCAACAAATATCAGTCAGACAAGATTTCACGTTTACTGATTTTACTATCAGTCACAGGACATTTCCACCGATCTATAGAAGGTTGTAAAACATAGTAAAATTTGGGTGATCTGCATCATAGTAAAATTCGAATTTACATAGTAATAGTAAAATTTTATAATTGAATGTCTTCACACCCTCATTTGATACCCTTGCTATGTAGCAACCACCACCAAATTTGATATATAACTTTTTTATCATATGTATCTACTTTATGAAAAACCTTAAAGCAGGTTGTTAATAAAACCGAAAATAATCTGACCCTCAAAGTCAAATTTTGCCTTTATATTCATATGCATAAAATTTTGTTTGACGCATCCAATTGCAAGTATAAGCAGAAATAAATGCCCAAATATTACATTGTTATGAATATTTACAGATTTTTGATCACTTAGACATGTCTTTTATAGTATATAAAATCATTTATTTTAAAAGTAAATATAATAAATAAATAGATTTTAAAATTGTTCTTTACCTATATACATAAATAATGATTGGAATAATAAACAAGCAACAATGATGATTAAATTAAAAGGATTAAAAGGTTTTATCTCTGACTTTATTCATTTAATTATTTATCATAGTGAAGTTATTAAATATAAGTTAAAATAAAAGAGAAATTTATATACATAAATAAATAATAAACATAACTATGGTGCAGGACCTCTTAAACCACCATTTACTGCGCCTCGAGGCCAAATTTCAAAAATGGGTCAAATTTTAAAAATTTTCAATTCATCTAAAAATGCAATAATATTTAACTCCGCAATGTTACACGACATCAATTTTATTATTTTAAAGGTAAAAAATAATTTATATAAAATAATTTTAATTATTAATATTATTAATATTGTTTGGAATTTTTCTGTGAGATTTGTACTTTTTTGACAATATGTAAGGCCTCTACTCCTGTTAATCCTTTTCTATATGCATCCATAAATCTCCAAGCTCTTTGTGCATATTTACAAATACTTTCAAGTGAAACTGAATTTAATGCTAAAGGAATGGTTTTCTCCAAGGATTTAAATGTATAGTCACAATTTTCTTGTGCATATTTTTTTGCAGCTCCCCAAAACATCTCTATAAAGTTAAGTTCACAGTGAAATTTTGGGTAAAATATCACTTTATAACCACAAGCTTCAATAATTTCTTGAATCAAAGGTTTCTGGTTCATAAAATCTGGTTGAAGTTCAAGAATTCTGACAGCACAACAAAAATTTTGAACAGGTGATCTTTTTTTACAGTCATCACAGATTCGATTTAATCCTGGAATCCATAAGTCTCTCTCTTCAAGAATTTTTTTAATTCCTTTTGGTGTTCCATCAGGTAAATGCATTAATTGTTTTGATCCATCAGATTTTATTCCATCTCTAAATTTTTGTTTTCCACCTGGTTTAATATTCATTCTTCTTGCAATCAAAGCATTTTTAGCATAAAGAGAATGACTGGTGGCATTATCAAATGCAAACACTCCAATTGAATCTTGGTGAAGTTTTTCAAATATTGGTATTGCTTTTTCAAGAATCTGAAATTTAATTATTTGGTTATTAAATTTTCTAAACTGATATTAATTAACTTTAATATTTTTACCTGGTTGACTAAAAGTTCAGAAGTCCACCAGCCATCATGATTAACTCCAGGTTTCATAATGACACAAGCTTCTTCATTTTCAAATCTTAATCTTCCATCAATCTCAATTAGAAAATCACTAACATGAATGCTTAAACCAGTACCTTTTTTTCTCAATGGCATATATCCTTTAGGCCCCCAAAAAAAATTTTTTTCCATCATTAGAATAAAATATTGACTCATCATGAGTAACAAGAATGTGCCTTCTTTCACCAGGATTCAAGGATGGTTCAATAATCATC